GTTATAAATGGATTAAGGGTCCAGATAAATTTGGAATATTGACTTTTACCATAAGGTTTTGGAATTAACTATAAAAAAATAAACAACTTCTTGTGCAAAACAAACTTATTTTGGCTATCCTGGTTATTGCAAGTCATAACAAAAGAGGGGACTAAAGAATTTAAGCAGAAGAAAAAAAATACATGCCTGATATCAATTAATACTGGGACTTACAAAATGACACAAAACATTATAACATCGGAAATATTAAAGGAGATTTTTGAAGATTGGAGCCTAAGTTAGTAACTACAATATCAACACTGTCAGTAATGATGTCTGCGTCTATGGACAGACTGTGTCTAAAAGATGTTAATGAAGGAATGACAGATGTGGAGCAAATTTTGTCTGACAAGACAGAGAAAGTACCAAAAATGGAACTACAGATGACAGGCCAAGAGAATAATTTGAAAAAGGACGCTTTACTGGATATACAAAAGAAACTGGCTGAAATCTTAAAAATTAAAAGGGAAATACAAATGATAAACCAAGAGAATGACTTGGAGAACGGTCTGTAGATGTAGACTCTGTATGGACAAGTATAATGAAATATGGAACTAATTTATACAAAATACAGTAGGTTAAAAAAGAATGATACATATATAAGTGTATTAGAAATAAATATATACGCATTTAATAATATTTACATTAGATAACTGTATATAGAATTGTAATTGTTAACTGTTATAAGGATATATGCCCACTTTTTAAAAAATATTTCTTTATGTGTCGTTTTAAATATATAAATATATAAATAAATAAATAAGAGAATGACCTGGAAAATGCTTTCTTACTGGATCTACAAAAGAGGGTTGATAAAGCCTTGAAGAAATCTGTGCAACGGAATAAAGAAGAATTGAAGAGAAATAAAATTCTATGACAGTATTTGATTGAATTAAGTCAAGATTAAGAGTGTTAGAAGTAAAAGGAAGGAATATAAAGTGGGTTTATTTGATCAAGGTTAAAATAAGACTTTTTTTTTTTTTTTGCAATGTTCTGGCACCCTCTATAGGCTTTTTGCTGACACCAGGATTGAAAAGTTGATGTTTTATGGATTTGTTGATAGATAAGGGATGGGATATGGGAGGAAGAGATATCTGTTTAACCTTATGAGGGTAAAGAGTTATTAAATTTGTTTATACATTGTGATGAAGGTTGGAAGTTACTTCTTTACAATTTCTTTTCTTTTTCTTTATATTCTTTTTTCTTCTTTTGCTTTTTTCCTGCACTTGCTGTTCTTTCTTTCCATTCTATTTTCTTTCCCTAAGTTTAGTTTGTATTAGTTTTTAATTCTGTAATTAAAATTCTTAATAAAAATATATTTAATAGAGAGATTGGGGAGGCTGGGAAAGTCATAGAAGGGAGAATAGACCTAAACAATCAAGGTGCTAAACAACAACTTAGCACAGGTGGCAAGAACCCTGTTAAGGAGCATTTCAGATCATTCAAAGAAACTCTTTCTTAATGAACTCACTTTAAATGAGGGTTAGAAATTCCTCTTTCAGTTTCCAAGATGCTGTATATACCCCAAGACTAGTAGTAAGGAGACCTTACTGGAAAAAAAAATAAAGCTGAATTACAGCAGCAACATTGCAGTTAGAAAATAACGCCTTTAGATCAAATGATGTGATTTCCAAGCAACTTTAATTCCAAACACTTTTAAGTAAGTACTGCTCTTAACAGGTATCACTGTTTTCCTATTACCTATCTTTTAAAACAACTCAAGTTTTTTCACCAGAGACTACAATTCCCAGGAGGCAGCGCAGCCACGAAGCTGGACTGCATCGTACTAATGGAAACGCCCAGGATGTAGCAGCCATTACCGGCCAAAAACAAAGCCTGAGAATCGCGCGAAGAAATCAGTCCTTCGCGGCCTCCGTTGAGGGTAGACTGATGCAACTGCAAACAAAGCCGAGTCCAATAGCCAGCGGGCGATGCGCTTCTTCAGCAACTGATTGAAGGAGAGGGCGAGGAGGCCACACCCTCTCATTCGGATTGGCTGAGGAATTATCTCTGTCCTGCGCTTTGCCACGCGACGGCGCCTGCCCTTCTTTTTCCCCCCCAGACTCTGAACGAGCCACGTGGGCGGTATCAGGTTTGTTCGCTGGAGGGTTAATTGATTCCAAGGAGACGCACCGCACGGGGGGGCTGGATCGGGGGAGAACCCGGACAGGATGGAAGGGATCAACCCGCGATGCGAAGGGAATGAAAGATCGCGTTCAGGGACGGGGACGGTAGGATGGGTGAGAAGAAAAGCAGGGCAGTGACGTAAAGAGCAGCAGGTGGGAGGTGGAGTCGGCACCAAGAAAGGAAAAGAAAATAAACGAGCTGTGATGTAAAGTTGAGGGTGAGTGAAAGCACTAGATCCTGCACTAGCCCTTCTAATCTCTTTTATCTCAGATACTTCAGTCTACCGATTCTCTAAATCCAGTGCAGAGCCTGAAAGACGATTCCTGTATTTGCAGTAGAGTTGCACTATCACTGGCACGTTTAGTTCGTTTTTTCTTTTTTATACCAGGTGTCCGTTGGGTCACTTCTAGAAACTGTTGTTACCATGAGCGTGGGATTCATCGGTGCTGGGCAGCTTGCCTTCTCCTTGGCGAGGGGCTTCACAGCAGCAGGTAGGCAAGTGCAAGAAATGGGAACTGATTCGCAATAAACTGATACTCATTGGTACATCGGTGTTATATTTATTTCTGCAACTTTGTTACAGGTTTGCACAGTATGCTAGGCCCTAATGTGGTTTGTTTTCTTTTAGTTTAGTATTTTGTGCAGACCAAGCCAGTTGTGTGTTACTTAATTAACCATAGGTAATCAAGCCATAACTTAATGTAATATTTCTAAAACGTTAGAAATGGTACTGAATTTTCATCCTGGTCACCTGAGTTTTTTGCATATCTATTTGTCTCTCAGATCATATTTTCTTCCTTGCCTCATGTATATTGTATGTTTGTGTAATGGTAATTGTTTTAATGAAGAGATAGTGCTGTTTCTGTTAGAATACAGTAGAGTTAGATACAGGTCTGAAGCTAATCTCAACTTTGATTTTGGGATATGTAGTATCATATAAATCATCACTCTGTCCAGATTACCTTGTTCTTCACTGCAGTATATCTGTTGTTGGAAAAAATGCTAATTAATGAGAAACAAGAACAGATATACGTATGCTGTATGTAACAGAATCCCTGTTGCATTTAAATATCACAGCAACCAGAACCGTGGAAGCCCCTCCTAATTTCTAGGAGTTTTTTATTTCTTACAAAACTTTAAACTGAATAATTAGAGGCTAGAAGAGTGTATTACTGGGCATGAAGAAAACTGCAAATATTGCAAAAGACAGCACAGATCTTACCACAGGTTTAAGAAACAAAGTTCTCAAGGGTGTAGTTCTGCGTGAAAACATTCTAGACAAGTTTGCCTGTTTGTATATTATCTCTTAGATTTGAATATCTCTTTACCTAAAAAATAAGAAGATCTACAATAGGGTAAAGGATAGTGAAAATTATACTGACAGAAAAACAGAATGGGTGTATTGAGAAGGGAAGTGATAATAGTGGTAAGAATATAGTAAAGACAGAGGAGACAACTGCTTTGTGGCCTGCAGGCAGAGGAGGCTGTGCCAGGTTCCAGTTTGAAACTGGTTTCCCAAGCCTTTAACAAAGCTGATTGTATGGGACTACCAGAGCTGGGCAGCAAAAATTTAGTCTATCACTAGATGGCAGCAAAGAGATAAGAAAACCTGAATGTTTTAATGCCCTCTAGCGGTCATCTAGATTTGTTTAGCACAGTTATGATCAATCTAAGAGAAGAAGACTTTCAGGCAGGTAGGGGAGAGGTTTCTATGGAAAGGAGATGGGTCCATTATGAGTCTAATGGTCAAGCAGGAGGGGGGAAAATGATACTTTGAATAAGTGAGGGGAACCCTCACATGGCCTAGGTTGTTGCAATAGCATGGAAGAAGTGGCTGTGAGACTTTCCTCTTCCCTTTCTCCTGCCTGCTCTCAGCCTGGGGGGACTCTGCATCTGAACTCTCTCATTACTGGAGGAGCCCATCTAAGAGGTTTGCCTTGCAGCCTGTAAAACACTAATTATGCCTCTGGTAATAATCTGAATAAGGTGTAGGAAGCTATAGCAAAATAAAACTCAATATTTATTTTTCTAGGGATTTTGGCTGCCCACAAGATAACAGCAAGCTCACCAGACACTGATCTCCCAACAGTATCAGGCTTGAGGGTAGGTTATAGCATTTGAAATATTAAAATACCTCTTTTCTGCTCTCAAAACTTTCATAAAACTCATTATTAGCTGTGTTTGTATACAGAACTCTTTCGTACATGATGTGCATGCTGCTTTGATTGATCTCATTGGTGACTCCTGGCAGTGGACACAACTAACAAATCAGATTTTTTTTGGTTTGGTTTCCTTGTGTAGCTTGACAGGAACCTTGCTTGTTCATGTTGGTACAACCCATATCTTGATCCCAAGAACAAAATTGTGGTACCAGTCTGGCTTGTTCCAAGAGGAATAAAGTAGAATTCCTAGTTTATACAGCATAGTAACCAACCCACAAAGCCACACAAGTTTTTTTTTTAGCCATGCCTACTAGCAGAGGGATCCAATGGGTGTGATAGGAACAATAGGGAGCAGCATACTTCTACTGGTAAACTGGCTTGTAATTCCAATGAGGCCATGGGCATTGCATGCTTCATCCATATATTGAGATAGTTTAGACTTTTTTTTAGCTCTGTTGTTATGTTTACAAGACTATAACTTCCCAGCCAGAACTTTTTCTATTACTAGAATTGGAACACATTTCACTCATATAAAGCAGAAGTAGGAAAAATGAGAGAAAATAGTAGAGCTACACAGTAAAGCTACATGTTACTCAGAAAAGCATATAATTTGATAGTTCTTTTTTCACGTGAAAAGTAACTTTAGGATGAGATATTTGAGTGTGGAAATACTCGCTAGGAGGAGCACATAATCCTTTTTTCCATTTGTTTCAAGGGCATGTCTTCCCTTGCAAATGTACATTTTAAAATGTATGGAGAAGATTTGATACATCCCATCACCACTTTGCTGCTGTCAGTTATCATCACTCATGGTGGCATTACTAAAGGAGTTGTGTTACATTTTTGTCCAAAATGCATTGTTTAGTCCTTAGTTTCTATCTTTAGAAAATCTTATTCATAGAATCTGGTTAAGATCAGACCTGGTCTTAAACTGTAGAAAGTCTGAGGTTATGTGTGTTTCTGATTACATATGAATATTTTATAAATATATTTTGTAAAATAAATACTAGTCATCGTGACACATAGTAAAACAGCACTACCGTGTTAAAATGGAAGAGATTACACTCAAATGTTTTGTGTTCACTTTTGTCTAAAAGTGGAAAGAAGTCTGTTGGGTGTCCCCAATATGGGTTAACCATAGCTGTACCATATTTCTGATGAGACAAAAAAGGGAGAAAGCCAAATTCATATGGGCGGTTAACCACATTAGATAGCCGTGATTTGTCCCCATTGTTATATACTAACTCACATTTTCTTGGACATATTTTTACCCATTGGAATTCCTGAATTCTTTTTAAACTTAGCGCCATGTAGAAATAATTGCAGTTATGTAACCTTGAATAATTTGAAACTAGTTCACTGGCTGTATATCTAGGCTAGGGTGTAGCTTATGAACTACATAACAAGGTGATCAAGATGTTTCTAGATATTGAATGTTTTCCAAACAGCATACATGAGTCTTCCCAGGGAGTTCCTGTCTATCTCAGATTGGCTGCAGGCTGGTGAAGTTATTTCCACCCAAAAAACCTCATCCCAACCCCAGTAGCCGAAACACTTGAATCTCTACACTTGCTTTGTTTTTTGCCCATTTAAATTCAAGATGTGGGATTATTTTGGCTTTACCTATTATGTATCAAGTTCATTTTGCCTTTGTAGTTCTAGGAAAATGAATGTGTGCCCAACTTTTGCCTCGTTCCATGTCTAATCCAATTGTCCTTGCTATAGTCTGAGCCCAAAGAGATGTTTTAACAAATGCTGTGCAACTTATTTCCAGAAAATGGGTGTAAATTTCACTATAAGCAACAAGGAGACGGTTAAAAACAGTGATGTCCTGTTTCTGGCAGTGAAGCCTCCCATAATTCCCTTTATCTTGGATGAGATTGGCTCAGACATAGAAGATCGACATATTGTGGTCTCGTGTGCTGCTGGCGTTACTATCAGCTCAATTGAAAAGGTGAGAATCAGCACTCACGTTTATTAAGTTTCTTGGGCCTAGAGCTGTGTAAGGGAAGGGCAGCTAGCAGATTCTTCTGAAGAATGAACTAGAAATTGGTGGTGACAGTACAACAAACATAATTGCTTTGGTCATATAGAAAGAAGGGGAAGCATCTAGTAAATAGCTTTGTGCTACTTTTCCTTTCTTTTAGCTGTGGGGAGATAAATCAACAATGAGATTCCTACACACCTCATCGGTGTGTCCATCTTGCCTTTAAAATTAGGTCCAACCTGTTTTGGCATGACTGAGGAAGTTTTGTGTTTAACTAACAGACTGGTTTGATAACGTTTGCTGCCTAAACTTGATGAACTCTCCTCTCATTATAGAGCAAAGTCTTTAAAAAGTCTTGTTGCCTTTACCTATTCATTTACCCCTGATACCTGGCCTTGCTGAAGACTCAATAACCTGCAGAGCAACCTGCATTATTTGCTTTTTTAAAACCATCTGATCATTAAGAGAATTTGGAAATGTTCTGGTGATATCAGTATAAGGCTAGCCTATTGGGCATGAATATTATGAAACGTGCATCATTCTGACACATCAGGAACTGCTTTTTCAAATTGAATTGGTAACTGGCTTGTTCAGCACTGCAGAAGTTATGCAGATGTCTTCCAGCTTTGGTCTGGGATCTACTTTGTTAGGAAAAGACTTTATAGAAAGTAATGTTTGTAAAATAGGCTAGCTTTCCCTGGGGAGATATTATAATGTTCAAGGCACGGTTAGATTTTTGCTATTACAGTCTTTAAAAAATCATCTACCTTTTTCATTGCTGCTAACTGGCATTCCCATACTTTTGCTTTAAGTGTGTGTGCCTCCTTCAGTTCCTCTGGTGCTCTGGGCATTGGGTGTGGAAACATAGCTCTTCTCTACATGTCTGTAACCTGGAAAAGGCAGAGTTGGATTTTCTGGACCACTTGCTAGAACTAATTAAAAAAAAAAATCGTCATTTGTTTCTCTTATTTTGCATCTCAAGAAACTTTCTGCCTTCTGCCCCACTCCAAAAGTGATCAGGTGCATGACCAATACACCAGTCATTGTGCGGGAAGGGGCCACCGTTTATGCCACAGGAACTCATGCAGAAGTGGAAGATGGGAAGCTCTTAGAACAGCTGATGGCAAGTGTGGGCTTCTGCACTGAAGTAGAAGAAGATTTGATAGATGCTGTGACCGGACTCAGTGGCAGTGGACCTGCTTATGTACGTGCCATGTCTTTCCTGTATTCTCCAAAAAGAATGTGAAAGGATGGGGTGGGGGGGT